CACACACACACACACACACACGCACACACACACACCCTTTCTTCTCTGTATTGCACTGACTCACCGACTGCTCAGAACAATAAAGACTTGAGTGTGTTGGCATGTTGTGTGTGTGTGTGTGTGTGTGTTTGTGTGTGTGTGTGTGTGTGTGTTTCTAAATCCCTTCCAATCACTTGAATTGACCTCAGGTGAACTCCAGTCAAGCTGTAGAAACACCTCAGAGCTGATCAGATGTGAGACACCTGAGCTACATTTCACCGTCATAGCGAACGTCAGTGTGGTTAGAAATCTCTAGACTCCTGTTTTCACTTTGTTATTATGGGATGTTGAGAGGTTATTGAGAGGAGCAGCTCTGTGTGATTTTGTGCATTATTCAGATAATGTTCTAAATGATTCATTCTGCCCCAGAAGGAGGAGATGGATTCAAAAGAACAGTTCATTTGGAGACGTTTCGTTGTGTTTCCAGCCTGATGACCATAAATAATATCGTACAATACAAACTGCAGCAATAGAACTAACTGTTTTGTCTCCTACACTTTAACACCTTTTCCTTCAAATTAAAGCTCAGTTGTGTCGTATGAGGAGAAAGTGTTTGAGACGGAAAGCTTTACAACTTGCATTTTCTGTTTGAGACCCTGTGGCATGAGACGATGTTCCCTCTCGCTGAAATAAACACACGTTATTGCTCTTCATACTTCATACTGGTCCTCAGCGGAGGTCAGTACAGGTCATAGACAACATAACAATGACTCAGCGTTTTAAAACTGGCTCCTGAACGCACCAGTTAACATTGTGCAGACGGACGTTCAGAGGAATCGCTTCAGATTTATGAGAAGGATTTGGAGCGTCAGACGTGAGAGCTTTCCTGTAACTTGTTTCCATTTATGAATTTGCAGTCGTAATAAAAGTCAGAAAAAGCTTAATGGCGTTGTCTGCATGTCGGAATGAACGTTGTGTTTATTTATTGTCATTTACTCAGTAAGAGCCGCACTCAAAAAACAATCGCGACGTCTGGACCAGCCGGACTGTTTACGAGCACGACAACAGACAAAAACAAGATATCAGCGTCTCAATGAAAGACTTCTTCCACGTGTTAAAAGCTGAAATATTATAATGTTCCTATTAACAACCAGAGATCACCAGTGGAGTAAGAAGTCCGATCAGTTAACGCTCCATTCCTGCATTCAAAAAAAGGTTTTATTTCATTTTATTTCTGTGTTCTTTTATGAAAATATCACTGACATGCGTTGTGCTTTATCCTCATGTTGGACCTGTTGTATGTTTAATTTCACCACTGAGTTATTAACTTTATTGTACTAATTGATTATTCCATGTTTCTTGAGTAAAGTAACTATAACTGTAAAGTAAGATTAGTGAGGCACAATATCTCCAGTGAAATGTTGTGAAGTAGCATAAAGGTTAAATAAGAAAGTATGATTATTCTCCCGATGTTTCTTCACATCCACGCAGGTGATAAAGGAGACAGAGGGGACAAGGGTACACTTGGCAAGCCCGGTTTGGAGGGAGCGGTGGGCCACCGAGGACCCGTGGGCCCTAAAGGCACCAAAGGCCAGGCCGGCTCCCCTGGAGACGCCTGCAAGATCCCTCACTCCTCCTTCTCGGTGGGCCGTCGCAAGTCGCTGCACAGCATAGACTACTACCAGGCGCTGGTGTTCGACACGGTGTTCGTCAACCTCCAGGAGCACTTCAACATGTTCAAGGGAAAGTTCTACTGCTACGTGCCGGGGATCTACTTCTTCAACGTCAACATCCACACCTGGAACTTCAAGGAGACCTACCTGCACCTGATGCACAACGACAAGGAGCAGGTGATCCTGTACGCCCAGCCCAGCGAGAGGTCCATCATGCAGAGCCAGAGCGTCATGATGGACCTGGCCCTGAACGACGAGGTCTGGGTCCGGCTCTACAAGAGGGAGAGGGAGAACGCCGTGTACAGCGACGACGTGGATGTTTACATCACCTTCAACGGATACCTGCTGGCACCGAGCATCCAGTGAGGATGGCGGGAGGAGTGCTTCCTCTGTTTTGCCAAGAAAAGGAGAACAAAAGGAGGACGTTACAAGTTTGGTGCTTATTAAAAATCCCTTTTTGCAGCCTGGAGAGGAATATACTGTGCTTTCTTTAGATGAGGACCGCCCAAAATAAACCAAGAGGAACGGTGAAGAGAGGCCGGCAGCACAGCACACGGCTAGGAAGAATGACTTTCACTACAAATACACCTTTGTACAACGTGAACCATTGTTCCTACTCCTGTGCTGTGCTTCGTCTCCTCTCCATCCCTTCAGGGACTTTGTGTGTAAACACAAGCTGTATCAGAAATCCTACATCCGTGCAGTCGGTTATGCATCCTTACTATGAGTAGAGGGCTTCTGTCGGACTCAGAAGTGTCCGGACAGACTGCTGTCACACCTTTCACTTGGTGCCTTCTAGAAGAACGCTTTAAAGGGTTAGTTCACCTTAATTACAACAACCTGAGACGTATACGGCGTCTCTAGGTCACTCCTCAGTCCGAATATGGTCACTTCCTCTTCATTTGTTGCGGAAAAAACAAGATGGCGACGCCAAAATCGCCAAACTCGAAGCTTCAAAACGGCTTCTGACTACGCAGACGGGAATGTGCGATACCAGTATCAATAGTCATACCGATACCTACCGATACCTTTCGTATTCTACTTTATTCTATTCTCTTATTTGATGTCAATGGAAGCATTCAATCTGCGTGTGCATTGATTGGCTGTGAGTAAAACCTCGCAGATCTTATTTTTTCTGGATACGAGTAGAAGAAGGTGTGAATGCAGATGTCGTTTGACTGGAGACGGTTCAATACTTCTGAGGACTGCGTTATTCTAGTCCTGACATCCAGCCCTGCTGATACCTGAGGCATCGGCTCTGATCACAATCACAGAGGAACAAATATCTTAGGAAATCAGAAGCCTTTGTTCTTAAAATATGCTTTTAAATTAAATTATTCTTTGATTCGCAAATATTAAATTAGTTCTCCATCTTTATCGTAAATAAGACCTTTCAGTTGTTTCTATATATTTGGAACTTTTGGAAAGTTCTTTAGATTCTACAGTTTTAATTGACCATGATGCTGCTGGGTAATGTAGGCCGTCCAGGTTTTATTTGAAGGTTAATATGTCGATAAAGTAAGTTATTACGTAGTCTAAAACAGCAAACCTGTAAAAACCTTCGAACTAAAGTGGAGTCATCTGCAGCTGCTGTGAGAGAGGAATCACGTGTCCTGCAATCTTGGTGAACTGAGCCTTTAAACAGAAGTTTATCCCAACACATCAAAACAACAAATAAAGGTGCTTTATTATGACGATTTCATACGATGTATTCTTACAGAGACTTCTGCAGAGCAGTTCATGTAAACAGCTGTGTATTAGCTGTCTTTATATTCTGACACGGTGCTCCCACTCACTGCTGCTGGGGCTGAACTCTGTGTGTGTGTGTGTGTGTGTGTGTGCGCAGTATTTCCTCTGTTCTGCATCACAAGCAACAAAAACGCACTTGATTATGAAAAATTAAACGTTTTCAGAGTGAAAACAGTGAAATCAGGAGTGTGTGTGTGTGTGTGTGTGTTCCATTTAGGTGTCACGATGTTTTTAATCTCTTCTTTTCCTTTGAAAACATTGCAAACGCACATTTCTGCAGAGGACCTCATTCTAAGTCTCAACATCACAATCACAACATCCAGTTTTAAACTCGGCTCTGAATGTGTTTCCTATGAGGGAGATGGTATTTAATAAGATTTAACCCCAACAAAGCCTCCAACTCTCTAAAGCCGACCAACAAAACCCTGTGTGAGGATGCGAGGACGTGAGGAGGCCGAGGATGCGAGGAGGTGAGGACGTGAGGATGTGAGGAGGCGAGGATGCGAGGACGTGAGGATGTGAGGAGGCGAGGAGGCCAAGGATGCGAGGAGGTGAGGAGGCGAGGAGGCCAAGGATGCGAGGAGGTGAGGACGTGAGGACGTGAGGATGCGAGGAGGCCAAGGATGCGAGGAGGTGAGGACGTGAGGACGTGAGGATGCGAGGAGGCCAAGGATGCGAGGAGGTGAGGACGTGAGGATGCGAGGAGGCCAAGGATGCGAGGAGGTGAGGATGTGAGGATGTGAGGAGGCCAAGGATGCGAGGAGGTGAGGACGTGAGGACGTGAGGATGCGAGGAGGCCAAGGATGCGAGGAGGTGAGGATGTGAGGATGTGAGGACGTGAGGACGCGAGGAGGCGAGGACGCGATGAGGTGAGGATGTGAGGATGTGAGGACGTGAGGACGTGAGGACGCGAGGACGCGAGGACGTGAGGATGCGAGGACGTGAGGATGCGAGGATGCGAGGAGGCGAGGATGCGAGGACGTGAGGAGGCGAGGAGGTGAGGAGGTGAGGATGTGAGGAGGCGTCTCTGCAGCATGCCGGCTCCGTCTCTCGGCCACATCTCTCCCATTAGCCGCACCGCCGTCCTCAGGGAGGCTTAGCTCGAGGAGAAGCAGGCTGCAGCGTTGTCAATACTTTCAGCCTCGAGTGGAGATCTGAACAAAGCTCTGCTGGGAGACCAAGCAGGACACGAGAAGAGTTTCCTGACGCTGTTCCAACACGCACGAGCTGCCACTTTAACGAGCAGCTGACTTTGGAGAGTTTAGGTCCGTCTGACTTTGTGCTAAAGACACGCTGGGAAAATATAAGAAGCATGAATTGACAACGTTTCAATTTGAACATGCAAAGAATAAAAATGCAAAACTGACAATTAAACTGTGCGCCCAAACCCTCTCAACATATTAACGCTCACAGTCAGCTGCAGCAAGCAGCAGTTTCACTTAATAAATAATCAAGTGGCGTGAAATCTCTCTCAATTATCCCCGCTGAGCATAAAACAGACCAAGAGAAGGAAGTGAGCACAGACCTGTTCTCTCAACTATTTCAGAATAAACAAGAGACAAAATAGATGTGTTCCAATGCGCAGCCTGTGTAGAAGCATCGTTTGCATGTATATATGGATGTGTGTGTGTAATTGACGCCGTTCCTTTAAGAAGCACAGCTGGATGGAGTCATTAATTCATTTTAAGTATTTTTTGGAAATGTCACCAAAGACTGAACTCTGAGGCGGTTAAGGTGGATGTGTAATTAGACTACATTAGATTGTACAGGTGTAGCTAATTAGGAGAGTGTGTATTATTCACACGTTGACCTGTGAACTATTCTGATGATGATTCTAAATCAGAAGAGGACGCATCACCGCAACGTTGTGCACTGATTTGTGGACTGTGGTTTAGAAGCTTCGAGTTCTGCATTTACTCATCCTGTTCTTCTTCTGCAATCTGGATGAGATCTGGTCTGTGGACCGGTCTCTGCTGGAGGATCTGAGTCTGTCCACGGTGGACCGGTCTCTGCTGGAGGATCTGGGTCTGTCCACGGTGGACCGGTCTCTGCTGGAGGATCTGAGTCTGTCCACGGTGGACCGGTCTCTGCTGGAGGATCTGAGTCTGTCCACGGTGGACCGGTCTCTGCTGGAGGATCTGAGTCTGTCCACGGTGGACCGGTCTCTGCTGGAGACTTCTCTCTGATGGTCTCTTTACTGATGGAGGTCTGATAGAGGATCAGGACTACACTGAGACTGGTTCATAGAGGATCAGGACTACACTGAGACTGGTTCATAGAGGATCAGGACTACACTGAGACTGGTTCATAGAGGATCAGGACTACACTGAGACTGGTTCATAGAGGATCAGGACTAGACTAAAGGATCTTAATTGACTTTGCATTGACATCATTTCTGTCCTGAGCAACACGATAACTACAGTGAGTAAATATTCCTCTTAGTAACTTTACAGAAGTATAAAAATCAGAATCATGAACATGTGTCTCCTGGTTCCTGTTCATCCAGTCACAACACTGAACACTCTTCATCCTTCACACGGACAGACCAGCACACAATGCAAGAGGCTGAAGGAGGTTCTCCACCAGGCTGTGGATCCTCTGAGCTCACACTGTCGGTGTCACACCCATAGAAACACCAGGAGGCCTTTTGCATCCTGCAGTGGTGTAACTGATCAAGCAGGAGGAGGGGGGGGGGGGGTTAAGATAAATGTTATGAGACTGTAGACAGGTTAGAGACTGAGCCCCGGGGCGAGCAGCTGTGTTCAGGGCGGCGGAACAGGAAGAGGCAGCGCTCTGATAATTACAACCACATGACCTCTGACCTCACTCGTTGGTCGGGGGGGGGGGAAAGTAATGAGCGTACGTAGAAAATCAAAAGACGTAACAACTTGAAATCACAAATGTTCAGCTCGTGAAAACCCCGAGAAGTGAAATCTATGAATCTATGAATGTGCCTCTGCTCACGCAGACGATCCGTTCATGCTCCCTCCACAGTACGCAACACACACTCTGAGGGTCACCCTGTATACACCAGCAAGCTACAGCGTGTGTGTGTGTGTGTGTGTGTGTTGATGGAAACACAGTGAGGTCATTCAGAGTTTGGTGTTGGCATCGGTCTGCAGCTGCTTTCCTTTCTTTCTTTCTTTCTTTCTTTCTCTGCTCCACAATGAACCGGTACGAGAAGTGAAGCATCGACGCTGCGTTACATGAACAACAACATGAAGATTATGAAACAGCAGGAAACTCGGTCGAGATGCGTGAAATTAAAGCTCGCCTCGGGATGAAGAAGACAGAAGAAGTTACAGCCGAGGAGATTATCTGGTGAGTTTTCTATCGCTTCCATATGTGTGGCTCAGTGAACACTGTTCATAACCTTTATTAATCAGAGATCAGGAGAACATCATGTAATATCTCAACAAAATACATCTTCACTTCATTATGTTTTCATCAGAAACAGCCCGAACATAATATCATTAACACTTTGTAATAAATGATTACATATTTAAGTTGTTTTTATAATTATATTTTATTTACTAGTTAGGGGTCACATTTCAATAATAAGGAGAATATATATGTTTTGATCTTCCATGTCACCGTGTCCCACAGACGTCCGAACAACATCTTCAAACAAACACTGCAATATGTAATAATATTAACACAACACGGTGTTATTAACGGTGTTATTACACAGCGTGTTGCTACAGGTCTAGCATGAGAG